AATCTCTAAAATACTTTATATAAATCATTATTACAAAGAATTATTTACTTTATAATCAATTACAATTATTATAGATAGGCCTGTTTATACACATACACACACTTACACACAATATATATGTGTATGTATATAAACAGGCCTATCTATAATAATTATAATTGATTATAAAATAAATAATTCTTTGTAATAAATGATTTATATAAAAAGTATTTTAGAGATTGAATACATAATAATACTATTATTATCAAAACAGAGCAGTAGTTAGATAAGAATAAATTATATAAATCATTTATTTATTACAAAAAATTATCTACTAAAACTTTGTAATTATTATATTCATAAAAGATTTTTATATATTTTTAGATGTTAATTTAATTATTTTTACTTTTGTAATGTATAATATTTGAAAAAAATTATTATATACGTGTGCATATATAAAAGAATGCAATGTAGAAAAGAGAGAAAAGAGACAGATAGATCGATAGATAGATAGATAGATAGGTTGATCGATAGATGATAGATAGTTCGATAGATAGACGGATTACTAAATAAATCAATAGGATGTGTATATATTATATATTATATATATATATATATATATATGTATGTGTATGTATGCATATATAGAAAATGTATATAAATAAACTAACCTGTACATCCAGCCCTTCTTGAAGGAAACTCTACATTCGAAAGGGGCAAATGTTTGGCGTCATATTTTCGTCCCATGGTGTGGACAACACACAAACTCAAGTATACGCTGCTTTTTACGCGTATGAACGTGTATAGCACCGCGCGACGTGAGTGAGGCGTCGCACAGTAGATCATATCAACGTATAATACGCGCGGATTACTGTGGTATACATACTACTGATACCGCGCGAATACGAAAGATCTGACGCGCATTTTACGTACATAATAAATCGGAATATTTGATAAAAAAATATATATATAAAATATATGATGAAAATATATGTGTATATATATATATATATGTATGTTGTATATATATATATATATATATATATATACACACATATATATATATATAATATTATATATATATATATATACACATATATATAATATTGGCATATTATATCTACATACTTTAATTTTTAGAAAGCATATTTTTTCTCTCTCAAATCACTCGCATACAATTATGAACGAGCAATTGAAAGAGAGAGAGAGAGAGAGAGAGAGAGAGAGAGAGAGAGAGAGAGAGAGAGTGTCAGAAGCACGGTCGTATACACCGTGGTCAGAAGACAAGACAGCATGAGAGAGACGAAGATAATATGACTGTCTGTCCTTGTCTAGCTGCACGATTGCAGCTCCATCTATCGCGACATCGCGCAACTAATTTTGTGCTCTGTATTATTCCCAAATGTCATTTCGCACATACACATGTGAATGAAATATTTCATAACCAAGATATTTTTTATTAGACTTCTAAACTTATTTCTGCAAGCTCACTAATATTCCTTTATGCAATCTTTTCCGCGAAGTGGTCTTATTTTGTACGTATAAATTGTGAAACTTTTATACAAGCAAATATTGTTATGACGTGACGCGAGAAGCCAGAAAAAAAACTCGTATTTAAAAATTTTGTTTTTTTATCACAAATTGAGACAGCTTCGCAGTTTATTATTGTATTAACTTTAATCGTGGAAAAGCATTTGTTATTCTATTAACGCAATAAAAACTTCTTGGTGTTGGAAAATATAATCAGTTCGGCCGATAATAGTAGACCTCCGGCATCCCCTTAAGTAATACATAAATAGAGCGAGTAAGGTCACAAAAGCCCGAAAAATAAGGTATAAGGAAAAACTGATGATGGAGCAGTTTCTGGGCGGAAATGCATTCTAGAGGAATGAAACTAGATAGAGCAATGACAATCTGCGGTCCATCAATAAAATCAGAGAAAATCCGGAAAAGGACCGATGGGAGCAAAATAATGATGGAGGTCGAATCACAAGTGATAACTAAGTGCAAAACTGCCCAGAAATCGTTTCCATCAAAAGTAAATAGGAAAACCAAAAAAATATTAATAAGAATAAAAAACCCGATAGACGGACTAAAAATATACTAGGTTAGTTATTAGACTATAAGAAACCGCAATCAAGCGCTAAAATCAACCCAGCTGAAAGTTTAAATAAAACCCTAAAAGGTGAGACAGAGCGCACGAAGGATTCGCGTTATAAGTTTAAGAAATACAGCGTATGAAGTAAGCGATTGAATTAAGAATGGCATGTTTGTTTTTGTTTTTGTTTGTTTCATCGCAGGTGATTCTATGTTTTGCGTTTTTGTTTTCTTATTGAAGTTTATTTCGATTAATGTTATCTAATTTATCATCCCTAATGCGTTTCCCAAAAATAATGTTACTTTAAGTTAAGTAAATACCAAACATAACATCCTCGTTTGTGCCTACCGAAAGTTACTGTATTATGATCTAATAATTGAGAAACAGGAACACTCTTGTTAAATAAAGCCTATCACGAGAAAATAAGATTTGGAACTCTTGCGACACCGACCGTATAGCGTAGCGACGGGATTCGTGCGAGCGCCCGCGGTGGGGCAACGACGCGCGGATTGGCGAACGGACTCGGAGAGGGGCGAAACTGCGCCAGGACACTATAAAAGAGGTGCCGAAAGAGGTTTCGAGGTTCGAGTGCCGCGAGACGTCAAAGCGTAAGGACGGAAGCTACCCGTATAGTCTAACGCCGCGATCCGGTAGAGTTTGCGTATAACTAAGAATAGTAGTGTACTATTCTACGCGCTATCTTCCTTAAGGGGATGCTGCTTTGGTCTGTTTGACCGACCGAACGATTATTTTTTTTAGACAAGGTATTCTTTTTATTGATTGAATATAACATAAAATGCTTTTCCACGATTAAAGTACACGTAAAAACAAAATTCGTCCTGCCCGATTTGATGTCAAAAAAAAAAAATTTAGGAAATTACAGATTTTTTATCGGCTTCTGGCGTCAGCTCGTACACATTACTCTTAATATACAAATTTGGCAGTTTGTATATGCAAAATTATACCAGGGCGAATTTGGCATTGGACAAAGGAATATAAATGAATGTTTAGATATCAATTTGGAAGCTAATAAAAAAGAATAGCTTGTCTAACATTTTCGTGCATATGTGTGTGTGCGAAATCGAGCTTTATGAATAAAGTAGAGCAATATATTAGTCGTGTGATGTCGTGATAGATGGAGCTGCAATCTGTTGAGCTGACAAGGACTGACATAATCGTACTATCTTTGTCTCTCATGCGTGTGCGAGTAATGTACAGTATGTACACACTATATTGTAGTCTGTCATATTATCTCTCTCTCGTTCTCTCTCTCTCTCTCTCTCTCTCTCTCTCTCTCCCCTGCTTGATTGTTCTATTTTCTTTCATTCCTATTGTTAGTCATATTCCTTCTTTTCTCTCTACATGAAGATAAATTATAATATTTCTGACAATTGATCGCAATTTACAACTATTTATGAATAAAATTAGAAATCGAAAAAAAGTTCGATAATTATATTATAATACATATATACTTTATCAATTTGTATATATATTAAATAAATATTATGTTATATATATTTAAAATTTGTTTGTATTTTTTTATTTGCAGTAATAATAATCTTTCTGACAATAGCTATATATAAATCAATAAAAAGATTCATTACATTTCAATATACTTTTATTATTACATCATATGTAATTCGAAATAATTCGTATAAGTAATGATTTTACTAGCATGCATATTTGATTTTACTGAATTTTATTCTTAGTTCGTAAAGAGCAATAAATTGATCAATTGTTATAAAGATTATTCTTACTATAAATGTAAAAAATACATACCAATTATATATATATATATATATATATATATATATAATAATAATAATAAAAAGTATATTGAAATGTAATGAATCTTTTTATTGATATAGATGTAATAATAAAAAGTATATTGAAATGTAATGATTCTTTTTATTGATTTATATATAGCTATTGTCAGAAAGATTATTATTACTGCAAATAAAAAAATACAAACAAATTTTAAATATATATAACATAATATTTATTTAATATATATACAAATTGATAAAGTATATATGTATTATAATATAATTATCGAACTTTTTTCGATTTCTAATTTTATTCATAAATAGTTGTAAATTGCGATCAATGTCAGAAATATTATAATTTATCTTCATGTAGAGAGAAAAGAAGGAATATGACTAACAAATAGGAATGAAAGAAAATAGAACAATCAAGCGGGGGAGAGAGAGAGAGAGAGAGAGAGATATATATATATATATATATATATATATATAGAGGTGCATTTAAAATAAAACCTAAGAAAATGAGAGAGAGAGAGAGAGAGAGAGAGAATGTTATATTTTTATTATAAAATACAGATGTATATATGTAAAAAACTTATTTATTTTCATATAGAGAAAGGACAAGAAAAGTGACAGTGACATAATTGCAAATAAAAAAAATATAATAACGAGCAAAACAGAAAGAGAAAGAAGAGAGGATATATAAATAAATAAATATAAGAATACAATAAAACTTTTACTTTATTTAGAAATATATATATCTATATATATATTTATATATATAAAATATATATATATGTTTGTGTTTGTATACATTTCTTTTTATATTTTTATAAATTAATATTATATATAAATATCATACATAATATTATATATCAAACTTAAAGTTATATATTTTATCAAATAATTATAAATTAATATTAAATCAAAATCAAAGTAAAAAATCAAAATCGAGAGTGTAGGAGAGAGCCACACCAGAATTATAGCAAATTTATTTGATTTTCTGTGTAGTCACATTCTATTGTCACATCGAATTATATGTGATAAACGTTTCGATGTTTAGATCATCTTCAATATTGGTAAGAAATCAAGTGATAACTTTGAAATTTTGACAGATGTGTGATTTGAAAACTTATCGCATGGTTGGCTAAATACTGTATTCAATCATACAATAAGTTTTCAAATCGCACATCCGTCACAATTTCAAAGTTATTACTTGACTTTTTACCAATACTGAAGATGATCTAAACATCGAAACGTTTATCACGTATAATTCGATGTGACAATAGAAATTCATTAATGTGACTACACAGAAAATCAAATAAATTTTCTTGCATGGTTCCTAATCCCCTACACTCTTTTTATTATATATTATTATATGTATCCTGGCGCGGGCGCATATCGGGTGGTGCCGGCCCGTATCTAACTTGTGTAGGTGGTGCAGGCGGTCCTGATGGTGCGGGCATATATCCATATGATACCAACCCGTATCCTAATTGTCCTGATGGGGCGGACGATGCAGGTGGTGTGGATGATGCGGGCACATATCCATACAGTGCCGGCCCGTATCCTAATTGTACTGATGGTGCAGGCGGTGCGGGTGGTACGGGCACATATCTATACGGTGCCGGCTCGTATCCAACTTGTGTAGGTAGTACGGGCGGTGCGGATGGTGCGGGCACATATCCATATGGTGCCGGCCCGTATCCTAATTGTGTTGATGGGGCGAGCGGTGCGGATGGTGCGGGTATATATACCGATGCTGGCGATGCGGCCATATACAGAGACGGTGCGGGCGATGTGTGCACATATTGTGTTGGCACATATACGGATGATGCAGGCCTGTATCTTGCCTGTATCTTTCGTCGTCTCTCGCGGTTCACCGCCTGTTTTACCGCTGCATTTATACGCTGAAAAAGATAGTTTATGTTAGTTTTTTACAATTATATATAGTTAGTATGTTAACATTCATATTCCAATTAGACTTTTGTTGCTCGTTTGCATATGTTACATACATGTATGTATATGTGTATGAAAAAACGGGTTACAATGCGGTTTTCGTAGAAATATTCTTTCTTTTATTCCAGTTTTTTATTTAAAACTAGATTTATGAAATAGTAACTGATGTGTGATTCAATATATTATATTATTTGTAAATCACACATAAATATATGCATTGCAGAGAATAATAATATAATAAACTAGGTGTTAGTGTGCGTGCGTGCGTGCGCGCGCGCGCACACACATATATACACATACTGACGCCTAATTCATATTATTATTTGCAATACATATATTTATATGTGCGATTTACAAATGATATAATATATTATATTAACCAAGCATCAGTTACTATTTTATAATCTAGTTTTAGATAAAATTGGAATAAAAGAAATTATATTTCTACGAAAATCGCATTGTAACACGTTTTTTATACATATATATACCTATGTAACCATGTATGTAAACAAGTAAATTTATTTATTTTTATATATTGATAAAAAAAGTATACAACATTATGGTCGGATTTTATTGACATTATCAGCGTCGCATGAAATATATTCGTATTTTTACTGGATGTTCCAGACTTACCACATCACCTGTATGGGGGATTTCTGAGATTATTTGAAGACGATTTTCCCTCAGCAAAAATGTCGAGGCACTATAAATTTTCGAGTAATAAATGATTGAAAATAATGGCTTTTTTGCAAACTAAGTCTTCTGTGGAAATAAAATAAACAAAACTACATTCTTCAGCTGAAATTATTTTAATAGAATTTCTTAGTTACTAAGTACATGATGACAAAAATTGGGAATAATGACCTCGACATTTTTGCCAAGTAAAAATCATCTCCAAATAATCTCAGGAATCTCCCATAACAGGTGATATGGTAAAAGTCTGGGACACCCTGAATATTTGATCCGCACCAATGTTATGTTGTATACATCTTATTTTCTCTTTAATTAAAAATGCAATTTAAAAAATTAAAAACTACTAACCTTTTTTACTTGCCTCGTTGAGGTTGGTCTTGCCGTCGCCGTTACCGCCGTCGCCGTTACCGCCGTCGCCGTTTCCGCTGTCGCCGTTTCCGCTGTCGCCGTATCTTTATCCATCGACGTTGCCGTTGACACTTTGTTGGACGATGATGCTATCACTAGCGGTGACGTCGCCGTGGACACTCTCCTGGACGACGCCACCGCTAGGGGTAACGACGACGTTATTGATGGTGATGGTGATGTTGATGGCGATGTCGATGTCGATGCCATCGCCGCCCTCGCCCTCCTTACGGTCGTTGTCGTCGCCCTTGTCGCCTTGTTACTTCAGGCAAATTGCCTTCGCTTCGAGCTGTAAAAAAAGTATATTAGAAAATATACTATATTTCTACATATTCTCAATTTTTTGTCAACAATCTTTTACAAAAAGAATGAGAATGAGAGAGAACAAGAGAGAAGAAAAAGAGATTATACATTTATCAGCTAATACATTTTTATAATTTATGTTGCGTAATATATACGAGTTCCATAAATTTAACGTATTGAAAATGTATAAAGTTAATTTATATATACGTATATATATGTATATATATATTTATATGCATATATATAAGAGAATAAAAGAGATATAAGAGAAAGTACTTACGTCTCGGCATCGTTCAAGTTCAAAATTTTCCGAACACTTCTTTCGCCACACTCCACCGGCACACTCCACAGTCCTACGACAAATGACGATTTTCTTCGACCGATTCCGAGCACGTGCGCTGTTGCCACGTGGTTTACTATCAAAAGCGAGAGCAAGAACGAATGAAGAGGAAGCAAGATGACAAACATCAAAGAGTTCCGAACTCTCTCGCTCGCGAGGGTCTTTATCTATAATCATTCATATCATATATCATGTTACTGTAAAAAATAAAAATTTATGTATTTCGCATTTTATCGATCTAAAAATAATTATAATGGATTAATGAGAATTTGCGATTAAAATGGCACTAAACACGACATATATCGGATAATTTTTAATTAAATATAGAATTATAATTTGATTCTATATTTAATTAAAAATTATCCAATATATGTCGTGTTTGGTGTCATTTTAATCGCAAAATTCTCATTATAATTATTTTTAGATCGATTAAAATGCGAAATACATAAATTTTATTTTTTACAGTAACATGATATATGATATGAATGATTATAGATAAAGACCCTCGCGAGCGAGAGAATTCGGAACTCTTTGATGTTTGTCATCTTGCTTCCTCTTCTTTCGTTCTCGCTCTTGCTTTCGAAGACATCGGGATGAATCTTTCCTTATTTACAATAATTTATCAATATAAACATATATAATTTAAAAAAATTGAAACTTTTGTTTTATATTGTATGAGTTTTAAAGAAATATAATAAATTAATGAAATTTTTGCAATGACACTAAACATAACATAAATCAGATAATTACATAATTTCCTTATTAAATTTTTAATGCAGGAGTATCATATAAGTAGCTATATAATCTATATATTGATACAATAAAGCGAAATAATCCCCAGTGGCGTCGTGGAAGTGCAGGTTTCTCATCGAACTTGGGTTGAGCAAAACATACAAACATAATTGCCCGCACTAATATGTCAGGATTTTTTATTTTTGTAATTTTTAAAAAATTTTTGTACTTATAAATGGTAAATGTTAAAACATGTATATACCTCTATCTTTATATGAAGGTCATAACTTTAACATTCGGAATGTTTAAAATATGCAATGTAAGAATAAAAAAATTTTTCTAAATACTTATATACATAATTGATAATAATAGAGGTAATATTTTATATTGGCATTACTATTGAATTATTCAATCAATTATACATTCTCTCCGAAAAAAAATAAATTTTATATCTAATAATGTACAGAACAAGCTTTCATAATTATAGAGCAAGTACTATGCGTTCTCTCTCTCTCTCTCTCTCTCTCTCTCTCTCATTGGCATTCAAAGATGTATACAAATAAATCTTTTTTAGAGTTTGAAAACATAAATGGATAAAATATATCAGTTTTTTCCATTCATAAATAAACAAATAGCTGTAATCATTTGTCATAAAAATTCTTTTTATAGCTAATTTTTAAATATATGTATATACATTATATTATACTGATGTATTTAGAAAATAGCAAAATAAGAAGAGAATGTAACTCATATGTCATTTTGTATCTATGTTATAAAATAAAAATGTATGAATTTATTTTTGTGTAGATAAACGAGAACAGAACAAAGCATATGAATAAAAGAATATAATTAGTAAATGCCAAAGAGAGAGAGAGAGAGAGAGAGAGAGAGAGAGAAAGAGAGAGAAAACGTTATTACATATAAAATTAATTTTTTTCGGATAGAGAGAATGTATAATTGATTGAATAATTCAATAGTGCCAATATAAAAAATTACCTCTTATAATCAATTATGTATAAGTATTACAAACATTTTTTTAATTCTTACATTCCATATTTTGAATATTCCAAATGTAAAAAAAATTTAAGTTATGAACTTCATCTAAAGATAGAGGTATATACATGTTTCTACATTTACCATTCATAAGTACAAAAATTTTTTAAAATTATAAAAGTCAATGATCCTGTACGTAATTGGTTTTTATATTTATGCGGTATTTCTTTTTCATCACAGAATAAGCCGCGCGCGCACACATACATGCGCGCATGCGGTGATCCATTGCGCGTATCAATATTCACTTTCGTGCGCGGTTTCGTACGCGTAACAACAGTGACGAAAGCCGTTATAGCGTGTAATAACGTGTGGTAAAGTGAAGCGAAGAATTTATATTATATATTTTTGTAGTGTGTCCACATAATGGGACGTAATTATAATAAATATTTGCCTCTCAATCGGCCAAGACTTTCCTTGAAGAAAGGCTGGAGGAAAAGGTTTGTGTATTTCCATTTATATATACATTATTATAAAATTATGTATATGCACACATAACATATATATTAAACAGAAACTAGGATAAACAAAGAGAGAGAGAGAAAATATATTAGTGAGCGATCGATTGAACAGCGAATGGCTGCATAAATGTCGTAAAATGAAATACTATGATTGATAGTATGTATATATAACGTCACAATATTGGATCTAAAGTATCAATAGAAATAGATACAATCAAATGTATTGCCTTATTTCATATAGATTTTTCGTTACTCATTTATATACTCTCTTCTTATCTTAGCTCATCGTTGTCTGTTATATATCTGTGTGTTACTGTATGTGTTGTATGTCTATCAAATATTATCTGCATGTGTGTATGTATCTGTATATAGAATTAATTTTTTATCTTTTCGTTTGAATATTTTTATACTGATATATATACAGATATACACAACATGCAGATTATATATGATAGACATTCAACTTATACAGTAACAAACAGATGTATAAAGAGATAAGAGATGTATAATGAATAAAGATGAAAAGAGAGTATAATTCAGTTACGAAAAATCTATATAAATAAATCAAAGTAATACGTTTGATTGTTCTCGTTGAGTGTCACTAAATGCTGGAAAATGAAGAAAAGAAAGAAAAAAAAATGTTGTATCTATTTCTATTGATCTTTATGCTCAGTATTTGTAATGCTGTATGCATACTATCAATCAATATATCGCTTTATGACATTATACAGCTATTTGCTTGTTCAATCGCTCATTTACTCATTTATTCTCTCTTTTATTTCTTTGCTTATCCTAATCTCTCTGTTTATCATGTACCTATGTGCTGTATGTGCATACATAATATGTATATGTCTAATATATATAAAGGTGTATTATAAAAGTCACGCCCCATCTCTTGAGAATGAAATGACGACGTCAAAATAAGTCAAAACTAAAGAATGACAAAATTATGTTTGAGCCTTTAGAGTTATAATCAAAATAGTGCGTTTCAAATGTCTATCTGAAAATTCTAGTCGCGCGGTCAAGGAGACATTACAGATGCTTCGAAACATTATATTCCTAGCAGGAGGATAAACAAATTCTCAAAAGTCTCAAATGTAATTTTGTAATTTTTTATTTTAGATTTATATTGACTTCATCAATTCATGCTCCAAAGATGGAGCGTGACTTGTGATACACCCTGTATATATACAATACATATATGTATGTATTATATATATATATATATATATATAAGCCTAAAATTAACAAAAATAAAAATGTACATAAAAAATTAATAATATTGCTATTTAAAATTTATTTATTTTATTTATTATTTTTTGAATTTTTAATTTTATAAAAAAGTAATAAATACACAAATTATTATTAAAAAAAAAGAGGGCGTCAGCTTTAAAAAGTTTAATAACGTGTTTTTTGAGAATTTTGTAATAAAAATTGTATCAAATTATTGTAAAACTTTTAGGCATTTATTATTAAACATTTATAAGTATAAAAAATTTTTCAGTTCTAAATATTGACTATAGAGGTAGCCCTAAAAATTTTACAGCCTCGCCGCCGGAGTTGAAAATTAGCAAGCATTCTCGTATCTCCAAATCTCGTCTCAAAATTAAAAAACCAAAAATTTTTTATTATTTATAAAATTAGATCGTCGATGAATTTCTAATATTTATCAAAAAGTGCAAAGTTGACAAAATTATGAAGTTAGAAAATAAAGACTTATTTTCTTACTTTTTCATGCAAATATAAAATTAATTTTTTTTATAAATGTTAGAGATTCATCGACGATCTAATTTCATAATAATAATAAAATTTTTAGTTTTTTAATTATTTTAAATTTAGGTTTTTAATTTAGACGAGATTTGGAAATACGAGAATGTTTACCAATTTCCAAACTCCGGCGGTGAGGCTGTAAGAAGATTGGCCACCTCTACAGTAAATATTTTTAACTAAAAGATTTTTATACTTATAAATGTTCATAAAAATTATTTTAGAATAATCTGTGGTACAATTTTACAAAAAATTAACCACGTTATTTTAGATTTCTAAAGCAGGCACTCTAATAAAAATATTAATAAAAATAATTGAATATTATCTTTATTGACAAATTTATATATATATATTATATATATATATATATTATATATATATGTATCAATTTAATTACAACGAACAGGAGACACCTGAATATCTTCAAAAATATGCAAGATAAAAAAAATTTTGCACAAAAGTTACAGGATTCAAGTTGTGCATTATATAGCAATATCAGTCTGACCTGAACAACGTTGTCAACGTCACGTAATAAAGATCACCATGGTACCCCATTT